CTTTTACCGAGAACACCCGAAGCAGAGCGCACACGGACAGAGGTAGAAAACGCCTGTGTTGGTGAGTCGCCGAGTAGGACGTAGTGGGGGCAGAGCTCACACGGACAGGCTAGAATATGCTTGTGTAAAATACCCACGGGAGGCATGGAGAGGGTAAGCGCTCGCGCGGTTTACCCACGATTCTGGCATCACTGGTGTCAACCCCCTGATCCAGTTAGTGATGGGCATCATCGATTAAATTAAACTATCGATTAATGACTATTTAGTCGCAACATACTATCGACTATTTAGTCGATAGTTTTTAGTCGACTGAAATTTTGCTTTATAGGTTATGTATAGATTATGTCATCAACTTTTCAGCACCATTGGTGTATTTACCTTTTGGAAATGTATTAGTTCATAGATAGAATTTCAGAAATATAAGTGGTAAACAAGTTTTTTAAAACAATTACTAATATTCGATTTTTTGTAAGCTATTTAATATTTGCACTTAAAAAATTAACTGCTCTAAATTTTTTATGAAACTCAATTAGGTTATAAGCAATAATCTGCACAGTTCTTGGTATTGTAGTACTTAGTATTGATCAGTAGCTCGATAGTTCGAGCGAATCGCTTGAAACGACTAATTCGGTCGACTGAATTGAGTCGCTTCAAGCGACTAATTTTAGTCGACTGAAAGTAGTCGCTTCAAGCGACCAATATTAGTCGACTGAAGTAGTCCCTTTAAGCGACTAAATTTAGTCGACTGAAAGTAGTCGTTGGTTACTATCGACTCAGTCGATAGTTTTTAGTCGATGGTGCCCATCATTAGATCCAGTTACACAGATCAACACAGATCAGTGAAATTAAAACTGCAGCATTTTGAAAATCATAAGATATAAATTATAAGTAAAGGAGCTTCTTAAACAATACATAAATCTGTAATTATACATTAACTTTTCAATGAATTTTAAAAATGTTTGTTAATAAGGTTATTCGTTCTTTAGCCATAAACATTTTAGACAGGAGTATTAAGAAATCGAAGTCAGTTTTAATCATTCCTAATGTTAATAAATCTCAATATTTAGTTTCAAAAAATTTGACGAATTTTTCGTATGATAGAGAAAAGCTCAAAAAGAGTTATTTGTTTTTGTTACTGGGTGTACCAATTTGTCTCACTTTTGGTCTCATACATTGGAAAGGGTAAGTTTTCTATTAAAAACTTGTAACTTCTTACTTTAATAGGTCTTGTAATAATATGTGATTAAACTTTTAGAGGTTATTATCTTTAAGGAAATAATAAAAATGTTTCAAATCTGACTGAAATATTATATATCTGTTTTACAATAAAAAGTATGCTCAGGCTAGCTCATTAGAAACAAATAATCTTAATTATTCTTATTGGTTTGACATTATAATAGAGTATCTTGGTATCTTTTTAACCCTTGGAGTACGGTAACTGGATCTGTTTGGACCCGATTGTTTAAAAGCCACATCTCACTCATCGATTTGTAAATATAATTTAAGCTAGGAGTTGTTCACATTTGGTCGTGTAAAAAAGTTGACAGTATTGAAAGAAATAATGACAGGAAATCACTTTTTTCTATGTTGTATTCATTTGATTTTGTAACTGCCTTTAGTTAATGAATTATTTATAAGATTAATTCAACAGAAGACGACCTGTTTCTATAGTAGTCTATCCTATATAATGATCTAAAATAAGATTGTAATTGTAAAATGAAATGTATACCTAGGACACCCTGTGTATGCTTTTTATTGTAACGTGAGCAGCTAATATTTTGTGCACCACTTCACTACCAGACAAAAAAAAATGTGTTTCAGACCAGACAAAAGTTGTTTCTTTTCGGTAAAGGCAGTTGAGCTGGCCAGTGAGGAGGTAAGCAATGGGTATCGGGAAACGAATTTAACACAAGAACAAGATGATCAAAAGAAAAAGAAGAAAAAACCGAAAATAGGTTTTCGTGATCGAAAGGTTTGTAATAAAAGTATTGATTCGATTTATTTAATTACTCCACTAATTATCCTCATCAAACAAGCTGTGAATATTTACCCATATTACACTACCGGACAAAAGTTTGGAATCACTATGTGAATTAAGAGAAACAGAATATTTTTATAAAAAATGTGAATGTATTTAAAGTAAGCGAAGAAGTTTTATTCGCCAAGAAAACATAAGCGACGCAATTCATATTTTGTCAAAAATAAAGAAAAATAAAATATATGCTTGTTAACATCTGGTGTATTAACGATGGGTCAGTATGACATTTATCAAGACATTCGATTTTGGCAAAATTAGCAAGTGATTCCAAACTTTTGGCCGGTAGCGTATGTACATTGTACACAATTATGTAAGTGCAATTTACATACTACTGAAGTGGGTCTCATCTTATAATACAACCCTGTATATTTAAGTACACAATTACAGTAGACTTTAACTATATTGCCATGGTCGGGGCTGTAGGGGAGTAAAATGGCAATGAGTTCAGAGCTCCTTCCATGCTAAGTACTATCGTTATAGCCTCGGCCTAAGCGTCTGTGCGAAAGCTTGATGGTGTGCTCGAAAGTACGTGTGAAGGGGAAGTGTCCCACGTGGAAATATGTTTAGTGGCAATATAGTTAGAGTCCACTGTACTTGCAATACAGAACTACACACAATTCGGCGCACTTTTTAAAAATAGCTTCGTTTAAAAAACTTAAGTAAGCTCGAAATTATGACCAGTAAGTGCATTTTATGCATTCACGAATCATACAAATGATCATAATGGAATAAATTAAAAACGATGGCATGGTATAACATAGTTCGTTGTTTTATCCTATACCAGCATCTAAAACTTACAAGGAAAGTTTTCCTTGGAAAATGACAATACGAAACTGTCTTTTAATAATCTTTCAACTATTTGTATATGTATATCTTTCATTATCGTAGAGAACAAAGAAGATTAGACTACTGACATTGTTTATAAATATTCAGATAAGTATAACTGTAAATTGTCGTAATTGATTTAATCGAACACAAAGCCCATAGTATAAAACATTCTTATTTTATACTGTTCCTATCGAGTGCATCCAGTTTGGTGACGTTCTATACAATTAAGACTTTCAGATACGCAAAATTACAGAAGCATCGATATCAGATTGGAAACAGTTTTATATATATTTTCTTAAAATGTCACTTCTAACTTAAAAAGAATATGTCTGTATTGTCACATAATAAATGGTTACAGATTATAGAATACGAAAATCGTTTAAGAGCGTATTCGACTCCTGACAAAATCTTTCGTTACTTTGCGACTGTAAAAGTATCGAGCTTAGACGGTACCGAAGTATACATGACTCCTGATGACTTTTTAAGAGCAATTACTCCCGGCATGAGGCAACCAGATGGTATAATTTTATATTTAGTTATATCTCCTCTTACGTTTATTGCTATGTGATTAATTCCCTTTTCGTTTTTCTTTTGAGTTTACACTGACATATGTTTAATTCCTGTATATCCTTAATATTGAGACAAGTCCCTGGATTTGTTCATTCATTTAGTAAAAGTACAACGATTTTAATAAATTATCTAACCTTGCTATATTTCTGTTAACTTAATTGACATTACTAATTTACTTAATTCAATGAATTGCCCTCTTGACAGCAGCTAGTAATTGATTTCAAAAAAGAAGTGTGTAACAGTAAAGTATCTAGAGCTTATATACGGATGCGGGTGATAAGGCAGTTCACACAACAAATAACAATAATAAAAACTATATTTAATATAGAACTATAACATAAAACAACAAAACGACAAAATTACAACACACAACAAAGTACTAATCTACGACAATAATAGGCAACTCTACTTTCATCCAACAGACTGACCCGAAATCCCGCGAAACCATACACTCTGCCCTCTCTTAGGTCGGGTTCACATTTGCAGTTCGTCCTCGTGGATCGACTGCCGTGGTTCGTTTGCACCTCACGTAACAAACAGAATCTTGCGAGTAAACTGCGGATTTTATGCATTTATAGCCTATAGGGGTCTATAAAATATAATAAAGAACAAAACTTTCATTAGATTCAACGAGTTCTCTATTTTATTCTAAACTTAATATGCTGCTTAAGAGAAGAAAGAAATTCGTATATTTGTTTTTATGTTCATGAATTACTTTAGAAAATATCATTTTGCATAACAATCCGCAGTCAACTTATGAGATAGTTCACATTCGGACGGATCATCCCTGCGGCGGATTTTTAACCGCGTCACAGAGCACTCCGGGTGTTAGCTGGACTGTTGTCAATGAGTAGTTTGGAGTATCATAATGAATGTCGCTGCATTAAACGCTTTTTTTTTTATTTATGAACGAGGTAATAATCCTCATTTCCGGTAGTCGAAGCTATTTTGGAACACCCTGTATATCATTGATCATAATACTTATTTACCGTATTACGATTGCATGGTACATGGAAACTTCGGTTGAATTAATCTATATGAATTACCTCGTTTGTGTAAATGATAAAATTCAGTATGAATAAACACTTTGACTTACATCTATTTTTTCTCAATATTGATTAAGTAAGCACTGTATTTAAATACGACGTAAACTTAAATATGAAATTATTATTGCCCAATAAATATATAAGCAATATTTATAACACAGATTATAGAATATGAAAATCGTGTGAGGCACTATTCCACTCCTGACAAAGTGTTTCGATATTTTGCTACTCTGCAAGTGGTTAACAACGACATCCACGAAATCTTCATGACACCTGATGACTTCTTGAGATCTATAACACCTGGTGTTAAACAACCTGATGGTAATTTTTCAACAAATGTAACAATGCTTGTAGTAAGATGCTTTGCACAAGGTAAAAAAAATTGATTCGATATGCAGGGTGTAAATGTAACTGTGTTGCAGTTAATTATTATCAAAAATTGAATCAATATTGAGGCTCCATTTATTGGAGAGTGTTTGGTGTAGAAGATAGTCGTAGAATTAAAACGTAATTAAGTTAACGAAAAAAGGATGACTCCATTGGCCGATACAGATACACTGACTGACCTTAAGATAGGGGTAAGGTTGGAGAGAAATGGAAAGTTAGAGAATATGTATGGTGAAACAAGTCATGCAACAAATGTAATCCATCAAGTTGTATTTTTCTTTTTGGAACAATCGTCAAAGTCACAAGTAAAGCATGTTGACTTTTTTTTAAAATATCGTACATTATTAAACACCTACATTCTGTTTGATAAAAGCGTGTCGATGCTCTTTCAAAAACGGGGCTTAAAGAAACAAGAATCGCGGCGGGGTCAGTAGGGGAGAGGTGTTGGCTAACATGCAATGCAGGCGTATTGGAGGCAGTTAATCAGAGAAAGTGAAAGAAGTCAGTTCTTCACAATCAGTGCGATCTACGCTACTCGTCTCGAAGCCGTGTTCTTATGCACGCATCCTCGCGGATCGGTAGCGTTCGTGAAAAAGTGGGTGAAGAAGTGGCAGGTGACTGGAACCATCGACGACCTTTCTGAACGTGGTAGAAGTCGGGGCACTTCCATTGAGCAGGACAGAACGATACAGCGATTTCTTCGGCGGGATCCTTCACTAACGCTGCGGAACGCCCAACAAAAACTAGCAGAAGGAGGAATACGAGTTTCCTTGAATTGACGCTGCGACACATTCAGCAACGCCTACAGTGGGCATGGGCTCACGTGGACCGTGGACCAAGAAGACTGGGACACTATAAACTTCACCGATGAATCCATCTTCGTCGCAGCGTATCCCCGAAAGCGTGCTTGGCACCATTAAGCATCCCCTAAACTGTATGTTTGGGGATGCATATCGCGGTATGGTTTTGGAATTGTATTCCATTCCTTGCTAGCGAAACCGGGACAATAATTGTATCGCTATATGCAGTCACGTGTGTGTGTGCGAGCGCGCGCGCGCGCGTGCGTGCGTGCGTGCGTGCGTGCGTGTGCGTGTGCTGTGCATCATCACGGTGTCAAACGTAGTTCCTGAAGTCGGAAACTTTTATGTGGAGTGCGCTCGAACCAGCGTGATTCTCGTTGGACACCAAGTCCCATAAGATGTTAGGTCTATTCTTATATCTCGTCTGCGTTTGTAGTTTCATCGATACTGATGGTAACTTTGCCAATGTGGTTGACATATATTATACCATAAGTGCCCCTGGCGGAGAATCCTTGAAGTATACCCTTGCACATTCTTGAGTCTGAACGCGTCAAATCGGAGAAACCAAAATGAGTGACCCAGAAGTGCCAAATTGACAAAAATCGCAATTCCACGATAGTGTGATAGTGGTATGCAGGGTGGTCTGCTCTGCTTTTGACGAGAAAACCATTAAATCGTATGATATTTGGCAAAATGTGACTTGATCAGCCATCTTGTATGTTTACATCAACGTCTGTCTCAATCGCACACTTTCTAAAATTTCAATTCTTTCAACGTGTTGTGTTTATTGGTGTTTATACGGACCAGAGCACTCTGTAGTGAAGTCTACCCGTGAGTTCTATACTCGCAAAAACTTCACTTGTGCAATTATCGAAGCGTATTTTGGCTTCTACGACATCGATTATCTGTCTTATGCATCGCGTCTACACACATGGATCCCGTTACTTGTTTGAGCATACGAACACAGCTCACGGCCCACGAAATCTCCCCCTTTAACGATCGTGACTGTGTCATGATTCTGTCTGTAGTTGCTATTTAGTTGGTCGAGACCATGTCCCCCTATTATTTAAGGAATAAACGGACGGAATTCGAGGGCGTGTTCTTTTCCCGAGGGCACAGTCAAAAATGATTAAAAAAAAAATTGGTTTCCATTCGTAATATGCTACTTAACTGCATGTGCATGTACAGCATCATGGTATTGTAATTAAACCATACATTTTATTCGAAAAATAATTTTCCGTGCACTAAAATTACAATTATTTTTCAGGTCTTGGTTTGGATAAATATAAACGCTATGATCCAAAGGTGAGTCCATTGTTCGAAACACAGCGTGGATATAAATTTCGGAGAATTTTGAAGAATTGAAAATAGTAAAATTAATGATTGGCTTTAATTAGTTTCACTATTGTAATTAATTATAATAATGTGTTAACAGTGTTTTTTTATAAATAGAGTTTACGTTTTTTGTACAGAACATTCATAACAAGCTAGAATTGGCTCTGGATGAGGACAGTATCTTCTATAAACTTGGAAGCGCTGGTTTAATCACTTTTTCTGATTATATATTTCTTCTCACCGTGTTATCCAGTAAGTCTCATTTATTTAAGTATTTATTAAACCACTTACGTCAACGTTACAATGGCTTGTAACAGTATACACAGGTTCGGAAACTCACGTGGTGGGGGTGATTTCATAAGGAAGAACAAAAATTTTGTGAATCTTCCACTAGCCACACAGCTCTGCAATTGTATTGTACATACATCATGTTTTAAAAGCAAGAATAGGCGCATGCGCCCTGATGCGCCACAGGGAGTGTATACCTAGAAATTAGAAGATTAATAGCAAGGTCCCATTCCTAGGTCCATGATTGAACCACAAGACTGTAGTGCCCTTGCTTCGTGGCAAAGTTCGAAAGTACACTTTGCGTCTTTAAGGGATCACCCCCACCACGGGAGTTTCCGGACTTGTGTACACGACCGTGCTTCGGACCCAGAACCTCAGAGGAAAAGTGTAGGGGGTAAGGGTGCGTGCGGACTGGTGTAAATGAGACAAATATCCCACCACACACCAACCCTTTTTTTTCGGGGGGGGGGGGGAACCTTGAAAAGGTGCACTGCCTTCTCTAGGGGTGGAGACGGCCATTGCGGGATTTCACCACGCTAAAAACCACCCGGTGACCCTCGGGCAGAGGGCTGGTAGCGGGATCACTCGGTATGACCGCAACCAGCCCTGCCCATTGCCCTCCCCTAGAGATGTTTAAGAGGTGGGCTCTTCTCTGGGGGGAGGGTAGCGGTTGCTTCCCCCACCCCGGGACGGCTGCACGTGCCGTCCCTCCACCTCCTTCCTACAGCGCCGAGGGGTCACCTCTCGACGCTGTCCTCTTATGGGCCGACCGCGAAAGGAGGTGGTACCCCCAGTACGACCCCCTCGGCCCGATTGCCCCGCGGGCGACGCGAGGGTCATCGCGGCTGTGACCCTATGACCACACACCACCCAGTGTTAACCAGGAGGCTGTGAAGATAGAACTTAGCATGGAGGGGGCTCTGAACTTATTGCTATTTTACTCCCCTACAGCCCCGACTGTGGCATTATAGTTAGAGTCCACTGTAATATTTTTAATATACCATGACTTTCCCATCACAGCATCAAGGAGACATTTTGAGATTGCCTTCAGAATGTTCGATTTTAACGGTGATGGAGATGTGGACTCTGAAGAATTTGGAAAAGTCGCTACATTAATTCGACAGCAAACTAGTATTGGTAATCGACATCGTGACCATATTGCTACTGGTAACATGTTCAAGGTATTCAAAACAAACGTTATTCTAATATTTTTTTTCATTATCCCAGTTTTTATAACTTTTTCAGTATGTAAGTGATTTATTCACGAATATTTTGTAGCTCTTAATTATTTCTTATTACAATTTTTCTTGTCAACCCGGGTGTAGTGATGGGTAAAATATCATGGAACTCAACTCAACTGTAGCAAACTTTCGAGCAGAACTTAAACAGGCGCGCGGCACGCGGCTTAAACTCGCCCCCGATAATGAATCGATAAATCGACACCCACTTTGTCCCGTGAATCATCCAAAATATTGGATCCCTTTTTGTATTTGATGTCAGGGATTTCATTCAAAATGAAATATGTTGTAGTCTACGTAAAATTAGGAGGGTTTAAGTAATCTTTTTTTCTGTTCCCGAAGTCATTGAAAGAATACAGGCCGCCGATGTTTACGATTTTTAACTATTTTCGTGAATCAAAGGAAACTGTACAGAATAGCAAATGAAAAAGACGTAAAAAATAAAATCAAACTTTTCATTTTCATTCGCTAATTATTCATTTGCTTGCCTCTCTTTGTTAATATCTCGTTAACAAAGCCTCGGATAACAATTTTGCTAAGGAAAAAGTTGTTCCCAATCACCTCACGAATGATCCACTAAAATGAGCTATAACACTTTTGTTACGCCCTGTATAGTCGTTAGTATGAAATATTAATATGATGTTGTAGGTTAAGTCTCTATACGAAATAAATGAAATATTATGATGTGTATTATTCCTTACAATATGTTTCATATCATTATTTTAAATATGATTTTATCATATTTAATATGTACAGGGTGTTAATTCTGCCTTGACTACGTACTTCTTTGGATCACACATGAAAGGCAAATTAACTATTGAGAAGTTCCTTGAGTTTCAACAGCAACTGCAGAAAGAAATACTCAGTTTGGAGGTAAGTTTCCTTGTGGTATTGCAATAGTTAATACAATTACTAATTCAATCATATTTAGTAAAATAATGTATATACACTACAGTAAAGCTTCATTTAACGTAATAGACGGAGAGCTGGTTCCGAAAATTTTAACGTCATTTTCACTTATTATTATCATATTCCATTTGTGGCAAGCCAGGGCGCCCTGAGCCCTTGGGGCATTATTTGGACAGGCTCGCTGTAAAGTATCAGGGTGCCCGAGCATTCAGTTGACTTGTTTATCCACCTGCGCCTGGCCCAAACATTTGGATTACCCGTGATTCGAGTGCAGGCACACTACAACACACACATAAAACTATTTGAAACATTTTTTTATGTATTTTGTGTATAAGTAATGTGTTCGCTTACGATAAATAACGATCTAATAATCACAATACCACTACTTTTCTACTGTCTGGATGTCATTTACATAAGTTTCGTACTGCTGATCGGCAAGAAATGTTCCAGATATTGTTATTAAAAATAAAGTAGGCATCTACTGTAGTAGACAAGTGCAGTTTACGGGTTACGAAGTTTATTACTTTATAAAGAATGTATAATAACATGAAGTGGTACCTAAAAGTTACAAAACAAAACAACTTCTTGCAGTTTGAGAGAAGAAATCCCGATGAAGATGGTAAAATTACGGAAGTGGATTTCACGGAGTTATTGTTAGCATACGCTGGATATCCTGACAAGAAGAAAGAAAAAATTCTAAAAACCATTAAAAAACGGTAAATATAAGCATATACATCGATTAATTATATGGAATCATTTGCGAATCATGTTTATTAAATATTATAGTGATTTATATGAAACTATATTTTGTTTCAGTTTCAAACAAAAACCAGAAGGAATAAGCAAAGATGAATATTTGAAATTCTTTCATTTCTTAAACAATATTAACGACGTGGACACTGCATTAACATTTTATCACATTGCCGGAGCATCGATTGATCAAGGTTTCTGTTAATATTTAAATACGAAATCTGATTGTCTCAAACATTAATTTCTTACTAAGCTCACGCCTCTTTTTACATCAATATTTCACAATTTATGTTATGATTCAAACATGTTTCTTCAGGTATCAGTAAATAACGTGATAAAAAATTTTTAATTTGCACATTACCATTCAATTGCAACAAAATAATAAATGTTTATATGAATAGATATAAACTATAGAATATTTAACACGCCAAACGCTACCACGAAAGCTCGGCCGACAGATTCACGCTCTGATTGGTCGGGGTTTTTCATTAATATCTCGTTAACAAAGTCTCGACAACATTTTTGCTAAAGAAAACGTTGTTTCGAAGCTACTATGGGACGCTCTACATAATGACTAATAAAACTTTGCACACACCAACCCTTAATAATATATTATTAATTTTTACAGCTACACTGAAGCATGTGGCGAAGACTGTAGCGCATGTAGAATTAAGTGACCACGTAATACAAGTTGTCTACACAATTTTTGATGAGAACAGTAAGTTTTTGTTATTGAGGAAACAAATTGAATTCGATTACTGTTTCATGTGGTGTAGTATGTCCCCCTAGATATCATACAACATTCGTTTGAAACATTTTTCCGTATCGGCAATAAGTTTCGTGGGAGTGAGAAAGTTTATTAAATTTTTCATTTATTTTCAGTGGATGGACAACTAAGTAACAAAGAATTTGTCGCTGTTATGAAGAATAGAGTACTGAGGGGCCTAGAAAAACCAAAAGATACTGGTTTTGTTAAACTGATTGAATCAATGGTAAAATGCGTAAAAATCAGTTACATGTCATTCGACAATTAAAATGAATATAATTATATATGATAATTTAATTATAAAAGAAGTGACGTGCTTATTTAACTATTACATACTTGCTTCTTTACAATTATTCTTCATATATTACAATAATAATAAACATACAACTGTTAAGAAAACAATTAATTTTCGTTAATATTATCTTTAACACGTTGGCGCCCATTGTCGCAGATTTGCGACATCGGGAGCGAACATTTTCACTACCTCTATCTGAAGGTAATGCCTCTAACTTACCTTTATTACCTGATCAATATTTAGTTCTATTTCACACCTTACCTGTATAGTTACTTAGGTAACCGAACTACACTGGTGTCCGTGTGTAGGCTACATTCTTAAACCACGAGTAGGTTACCGCCCTAACACCTATTTTTTTGTAGCATTACGAGGAGAGTCGATGAAATGGTAAATGGATAGATGATGGGATGGAACCACAAACACTCAAACAATACTACACAACTATACCGTTATTAAACTGATAAAAGATACTGAATACGTAAGAGAGTCGGACAGAGCTACTGAATGGTTGTGCTTTTAAAATAGGCAATTTTGGGGATTACGGAAGTTGATGAAGTAGCTGAATGTCCTCTGGGGCATGCCTGGATGCATGTCTGGATCACGGTCATGGTCGACTGACCTATCGCCTCATGCAGATGCTCACCGGACATGGATGCTTCGATGAGTATCTGCACAAGATTGGGGCGGTGGCGACGGCGGAATGCCAACAATGCGGCACGGGGCTAGACTCCGCGCAGCACGCTCTTGAAGAGTGTCCCTCGTTCGCCGGTGAGCGATGGGCGCTCAAGCGCGTCGTGGGGTGGGACCTCTCGTTACGGGCCGTGGTGGAAGCCATAGTTTGCGACGGGGACTCGAGGAACGCCGTGGCCTCCTTCTGCGAGGAGGTGATAAGTCGGAAGGAGACTGACGAGTGGGATCGGGAAAGAACCGATCCCGCTCGTGGCATAAGGTGGGCGGAGAGGAGGGCTCAGGTACGTCGGTGTGCTGACGCCTCTGCGGTAGCCCTGCCTCTCCCGGAAGGGGGGATTGGCACGGGTGGCCCTAGGGCCCCATAGCACGTGCACTCCCCCCTGCCGCTGAACTACACGGTGTACGGGTACTGTAAGCGGGAGAGTTGCGAGTTGGAGATCCCTGGCGCTGTTCACGGGGCAATGGAATTGGGAGGTGACACTGGGGATGTCACCTCTGTCGCGGCCAGTTCAAAGAAGAAGTCGGCGTCAGGCGGTGGCTCCTCGACGCTGTCTCGCGGGGTGGAGGGACGGTTAAATTTCGTCCCTGAGGAGGCTTTATCCCGTTTGTAACGAGGAGACTTGTGCTACTTGTGAATCACTCGTGATTCGATCACGTTCGTTTCCAATCACGATGATTTTTCACAGTGATTCGTGATTTCTCGTGATCGTTTCTAATTCGTGGAGAAACCTAACAGTTCTTTACACGCGACACATAATCTGTATATTTTCTATTAACGACATAAAAATAAAAATTCGAGTTATATCGTATAAAGTGAAGGAATAATTAGAAACAATGAAGAATAATGAATAAATTAATGATTATAAATTATAATCTACATGCTACCTAGCAAATCATTCTTTTAGAATTTCTTGTTTTTTCTACTGACTTTTACAAACACGAATAGTAATGTAATTCATCGTAAAATCATATTGAATACGTTTTTCTGTTTAAAGATCAAGGACATACGATCGCAGTGAGCAAATTCACTAAAGATAAAAAAATCGCAATCACGGTCGTGAATGAAGTTAAATCACGACCGTGATCCTGAGTGATTCAGCGATCACTGTGATAAATCACCGTTAGTGATTTTGCACGCCATCTCTAATGGGCAGGGCCGGTTGCGGAAGTCATGCTATCTGCAGTGACCGCAGCCGACCTGTCGCCAGAACCACCGGGGAGGTTTAGTGAGGTAAAAATCTCACACAGGCCGTCTCTGCATCCCCAGCGGAGGCGGTACACGTCTTGAAGGTTCGTCCCCGTCGAAAAAAAAAGTATACAAGATCCTTCAAGGATGTCTTAATCGGCAAAAACATTTCAATTCTGTCTGTGAGGAAAGAAAGTGATGCGTACATATAGCTAGGTACGCTTGATACCTGCAAAGGTCGACCATCTTTCGCAATACCACATCCCCACTCTCTAGTCGAAAATTTGCAGTCTCTTGTGAGCTGTCGAGGTGGTTGGGTGTATTTCTCACACTCCGCTCCTCTCTTGTTACTAACGCTTTGTATGTTACAAATGTTGGACAACCATTAGCTTCGATATTTATCTTGTAATTTACTGTGCATATTGTTGATATATATACTGTCTATTTACTTGTTTAATGTAATTTATTAATCTATTTGTCTAACTGAATTTGACCGACCAGGTGCGGGGGCACCTGCACCCTCGCCAGGAACGGTCCTGGATGTGAGTAATGTATTGCAGATTCCTCTACGAGATTCAATCTGTTGTTATTAAATACATGTGGGTGGCAAGAGAGTGAAGAATAGTGAAATCACTTGAGTCAACAGTAATCGGTTTTGAATACGCTCGCTTCTTAACCCAAACGTGAATTGATCACGTAACACAGCATTTAAATACGTACCAAAATTGCAGTAAATCGCAAGTTTTTGTAACGCCGTGAGGTACTCCTGGATGCTCTCTCCTTCTTGTTATTTCCTCTGGTGAAAACGAAAATTTTCCGCAATTTTCAAAGGCGCTGTATTGTAGTACTGCTTCATTATAATAATATCACCAGTTCTTCGTAAGTTTTTGTAGTTGGTTCCGGTGGTGCCAATTTATCACACAGAATGTCGTATGATTCTGGACCCATATAATGTAATAAAGTCAGGCTTGGCCAAACATTCGCTCGTGGAGCCACACAACAATAACACCAACGCCCACCACTCGCTTGTGTTGTGTTGTTGTTCGGGCAGGAGGTGCGCCGGGTGCGCGCACATTCTGTAGTAGCCCACATCCAATACATAGTCACTATCGTCACTATGTCCACGTGTGTCGGAAAGATCCCCTGGAAAGGGATTTCGGGAGTGCCGAAAGTGGAGATAGTATGCGCGCGCACTTCCTACCCGAGCAACAACACAACAGGAGCGAGTGGTGAGGGCTGGTGTTATTGTTTATGTGGCTGCTCCACGGGTGAATGTTTGGCCAGGCCTGTAATGAGTAATGTTTTTTAGTCCCCTCGTCTGTCACGTCGAAAATCATGAAAGCTCCTTCCAAACGTTTCACCCAACGGTCCCATCGGAATTTGGTGCACTACTCCTATTTATTATAGTGTACAATTTTTGTGATATCGACGATGGAGTAAAATGAACAGTACTATCATGAAGTTTGTAAGTAATTTTATTATACGAACAATAATGTGGAGTTTCAATGCCTCGGTTATCGGCAGACACGTCGTTTTACCTTCAAAAGAATGTTCTATGGTTTCTTGTGTTGCGCTAATGGACTTTTATTACTGAAAAGAGTTCCCTTTGGAAAAAAATACTTTTACCAGTGAAGAGCAAAGGAAGGGAATGATCACGGTTGCTTAGTCGTCGCTTTTAGGTACTTTCCACCCTTTGGAAGCAAACCACACGAGTCTGGCGCTAATACAAGACTTTGTTTTTTGTAATGATTAAAGGTTTAACAGACGTTTTTGCACGTTAAAGATCACTTAAAATTATTCCTCATCTTCATCGCCCGTACCAGTCAGCATCGCGATAAGACTTTGCGTGTCAATGAAACCTTTGTCGTCAATGTACATATTGTCGTATGCATCGTCGACTTCCTTCGCGGTAAATTTGTCACCATAAGTCATCAAAGCGTGCCTCAATCTGCACAGAAAGGAAAAACAAACCTTTTAAAATGTAATTGCAAAACACACTTGCTACACTTGTATACTTTCTACAATGTAGAACTTGTTCTACACCATAAATGTCTCGGATATTTGTATCGTGTCGATAGAATATGGCAGGCTTATTAGCCCAGACATATTACATGTTCGTAGACTACAATTGATATGTGGCAAACAAATTTAAAGTATTAACTGCTGCCAATAAATAGATAGATATAAAGGGACAATTGATAAAATGACATAATAGACATTTATAATTGATACAATAGAAATAGTTTTTTTTGCTTACCTTTCACCATCAATTTTACCATTCACGTCAAAGGTGCTAAAGGCAGCTACTACTGTTTCATCATCATCCGTACCTAAAATGGCAAAAATATATATTATATTTACATCGTCGGACATATCAAATAATCGAATCTATTGATACTATGTTTTAAGATTTTTCAGATGCAGATAAATTGAATATTAGATATTCGGACATTTTAAATTAATTTTCGAATGTTGATAACAAGCTTTTGCAATAAGAAAAAATACTGCATCTGAAAAATTTGATAAATTGTTGAGTACCTGATCCAGACATGCGAGTTGCAAATAGATTGAGTAATTGAGTAAAGTTAATAGGCACAGGTGCCTCATTTAGCATATCATCGAGTTCCTTGTCAGTGACAAGACGGCCAACAGAGTCAAAAGTAGCACGGAGGTCGTTCTTTCCAATTACACCATCCTTATCTGCATCCATAAGCTGGAATGCCTGGAGAAGAGATTCAGACAGTTAATACGGTGTTTATTTGATATACAATACACACGCAAAGAATCTGTATAATTTATTCTTATTTTGGCGCAAATGCTAGATAATAACTGCAATTATGTTACATGGAACTATGTAAAACACAGTGAAGTAAATACATGTACCACCTATTTCTATCATGACTTATTGAATAGTCTAAGTAAATCTATTTTTACTAAAACAACATTTCTTCTGCTCACTCCAATTATATATAAATAAAACATATACCCTCTACGGCCTTATTTCCACTTGCGACTAACCACGCACGATGCAAAATGGCGCGACTGAGTCGAACGCTACCACTGAACTCTGTGCTATAGTACAGAGTTCAGTGAACGCTACACCAAAATTTCTTACAACCAGTATCATAGTATTTACAAAATTTTCTAATTCTATGATAATATATCTACGTTTAAATAACTTAAGATCTTAAATATCCAACTGTTTCATTTCTTCTTCTAAAAGTTCTAAAATTTCCTTATAAACGGAGATCCTTACTACATAATTTAGGAAAGATATTTAATCATGCCGTGCATTCAAGTTTTCGTTACGAACAAATTCTGGAAGATCATTACTTTTCTTATGATTATTTAAAGTCAACAATTTCAAATTTATCGATCTATGCACCTTCCTCTACATCTGTTTCTTTCTCAATAACTTTCTCGTCACATTTCGGAGGAAGGATTACGTATTCATAAGTGGAGCCAAAAATGGCCATTTACTACTACCTACTTTTCCCTGTCAAATAATATTTCTTTTCAGTATACTGTTCATTTTCTGTCAATGTGGATAAAATTATGCTCAACTCACCTCCTTGAATTCAGCCACCTGTTTCTGAGTAAACATAGAGAACACACTGGATCCAGTGCGCTTCGCTTTTCGACTACCGCGACTGCTTGCTCTAGTTGAACCAGATTCCTTGGGTGTACTAGCAGGTGTTGGTGGTTTTTCTTCTGCTGGAGGTGCTGGTTCAGGTTCTGGTGGAGGAGCAGCTGGCGCTGCTTCCTCCTTCTTTTTGGTCTTCTTCTTCTTTTCCTTATCCGCCTAAAATTGTTTGACAAACAAGTTATACAGGCGCATTTACAATATATACTAAAAATTTCGCTAATCAAATTGAAAACGTGAATTGAATTAAGTTGAAAATATAAAAATGAAACGCAATATAGGACATTCCTGTGTAAGACTATAAATAATCTCATAGCATCCCCGAGCGGCTCGACTTTTTTTTCCTGCCATGAATATCGTACTCAGTATCTTATAACTTTCTCGGTTTTACGCATTTTTTAACGAAAGTTCACCGAACCATCTATAAATTTCACACGTTTAGAAAATACTATAATAACAGTTCGAAGTTTCATTTTGTTCAATCACCAATTGTGGACAGATTATTTAACTTTAGAAAAACTGCAGCTGAAGTTCTCGTTGGACGTACCGTTTAGAGAAATAAAAAAAAAACATGTTACTCCATCCGCCATTCCAAAAATCACGAAACGAGTTCATTAGATAATTTGAAGCCTTGAACAATTAAGAAAACAAGCAATTACGTGAACGTTTCTATTTTGTTTGTACGACATAATTATCTGCTCGAAAGGTTGTATATAACACATTTTTTTTAAATTTTAAAGGGGTCTCTAATGAAAATTAAACCAGCTAAAATATCAATTCAGCATTTGAAGAAGATTATGTAAATGTTAGGACAGTTCAAGTTCAAAGTTAGTTCGTGAAATTAATTCAAGACTGGTGATTTTTCATTGGAAATTGAAACAATGTTTTAAGAGATATCATTGAATATTATTCACCGAAAGCAAGAAGAAAAATAGCGTTTCAAATGAAAATAAACCATTCTACCATCATTTGTCACTTGGTACAAATGTGAAGGGTAAAGAAAATGGACAAATCTTTCGGATAACGATTTGATAAAAATGAAAATCTAAAACAGTTACCAAAACCATCGCTCCACTCAAATAAGATAATGGTAGCTGTTTGGTGGTTATCTACAGGACTTATTTATCATCAGTTTCTACAACCTGGGACTACAATTACAGCAGAAACAATGTTGTCAACAAATGGACGAGATGCATGTAAAATTAATAAAAAAACAAGACGCGTTGGTAAACAAAATAGTAACCAATTTTATCAGAGTCGAGGTTCAACTACATTAATATGTTCACAATAGAAAAGCTACTTTCAACTTTAAGACATACCGTGCAAAAATATAGAAATAATAGAACCTATTCGTACGATTAACAATGAATTATGCAGTAAAAGCACTACAACAAAATATTTTGTAACTCTAGTAGTTACATAATAAAATTATCATATAATAATCATCTGATATTCGGATAATGCTGAGTTACGGTAAGCATCGTCGAAGAAAATTCGGAAGGCGTTACTCATAAGACTAAAAATAGGATCATTCTATCAGCCACGACTGAAAAGAAGCCAAGACATATATAGACCGTTTACTCCGAGCCGCCTCTCGAGTTACTACAGTTACGTAATTTTCTTATTTTTGTTATATCTGTAACGATCTGGGAAATGTTAACTGTTATTAATAGTTCATTCGGTCGAAAGCTACCCAAGCAACTAAAAGAAGATCGAGAGAACTACTTTTTAATAAAACAATATTGTAAGAAATAGATTTCTTCGAAAATGTAAAGCAAATAGTTATTGTAAAGTATTTTCAAAATGCTAATATATATCTTTGAAATATTTTGACGGTAATGTACCTATTTTTCGTAACTAAACTACGAAGAAAGGTAATATGTAGATCAATCAGAAGCCAAATTGTGTATATTATTTCCATCACGTAAAAAGTAGAAAATCATTGGTAATATCACATATATCATTTTTTTAAATTCACTACCTCAGTATACACTGAGACTCTGAAATGACAATAGAAGTTGAAGTTTCTTCATAGTTCAGAGAATTCGGTGAATGTCTCCAATATACAACTCGGAAAATACTAAAACAGTAATATTTGTGTGGTCTGGTATTTTCGTCACCGGTTAACAATATCTTTACTCCAATTATTGGATGTCTTTGATTAATAAATTGAACCGTTTACTGTAAACGAATACCAAGGATTGAACGCAAAGATTCAAAGCTTTATCTGAAAAAAGCTAAAATGCCCAAAGACATTCAAATGGAAACAATGGTGATTTTTATGATTTACCATCGTGCAAACTGCAACTGAAACTTATAATTTTTCTTGAACACGGATTTCTTAAAACAGTGCACACGATTCCGACAAAACTGTTTAATCGATTTATGTACATGAAACTGGGCATCAATCCATAAAATAACAGTCTATGGTCTGACAGATATAATTTTTTTTTTAAATCGAGAAAAATCTATTGATTTTGCAGAAAATATCAGTTCTCTTGATTCAAACACGTATAAAATGAACATTTTCTTAATATTTCAATCAGACGATTATAGCGACATAATTTTAAATTTAGAAACTATTGAACTTTTTTTTTATTTTTAATCTTGTATTCACCAAACCAATTACGCCTGGTACACATTATCGAATACTATTTTTGGTTTTCCTTAATGGACAATACTCGCGAACGCCTCTTTTTAATGAAAAAGTATACTATACCCTCTCTGACGGATCATTTGTTATATGTCCTCAAGGAAGAATATAATGTCGGTGCACTGAAGGTGATATGTTCCCTAAAGTCCACAATATCCTGTGTTTTTAACATACTATAATAACCATCGAAGAAATACCTCATATTTGATAATTATTAGATCGCGTATATTTATGCAAATTCATACGTTTAGCCACCAATCGATTACTTATTTTCTCTAAAATGAACTGTGTAGTGTTAACTGTGACACGTGGGACCGGAAACGGTGTATTGGAGTAACCTGTGATACCTCTGAACACCCTTGATTCGAATTGGGAAAGAGCTTTTGCTTGGAAACGCGTATTAATATTATTTTTTGCTAAACCAAAATTAATTGGACATTGAACAGAACAGAATTACACCAACAACAGGTAGCTGGATACAATATTCGAATATATTTAAACGTATAAAGAGTGTTACAAGACGCAACCCGAGAATTCAGTGAAAACAAGGATTATAAGATCTATAATACGCGCCGGAATTGGGATACACTGTAAAAAATAAATGAAAAGTCTAAGAGCACTGTTTACACTCTCTGAACACAAGTTCTGACGTCTCTGGTGCAAATCTGCACTTTGACGAATTCATTCACTTATCATTATTCCAACACAGTTTACGCGTTTCGACGATTTTTCGGAAATTTACTCTCGTGCGATCGCTCGAACATATTGCCACCACTAGTCACAGGTACAGTATTCAGCATTCTTTTACTTTTCCGCAGCATTTCACTTTGTTTTTCGTTTTCAAGGAGATATTTGATTTCTCGCGTATTTCCTGATCGTGTTCAAACGGAAGAAAGTCACGATGGCGTCGTGGTGCATGCGACACCTACTTACCATGTCTACAGTTGGTTTGTAAGAGGATGGTACGAGATGGTCACAACGAACCAACTGTCCGAGTCATAGAGGTGAACTTATCTAAGTAAGTTTGGTAGATCTCCCCCACTACAGGACCGGTGCCTGAGCAGGGGTGTCTTGCCCGGGTACAACGCCAACGCCTATCTGACCATATTTAGTGCGAGCCACCTCAAAATAGCAACCCTTTCGACGTTTCGACTAAAACAGTTTGCTCAGGATTGTGCGAGCGACGATGTCTTGCGGCCCTTTTTCGCAGCTAGCCTTTGCTTTTCCCCACTGACATATATGAGTCAAGGGTATCCCGGAAGAAGATACCTACGGTGACACTGGCCAACCGAAATCGTTCATTTCTTTTTTTCTTTTGTCCACGCTCATAGTATTTTTCGTGCTGAATTCGAACGTGTTTGCTGTATGTTCTTCTATCGGGCCATGGTTTTCAAGTGACACAAATGTTGACATTCTACGGGAAATATAATGCGACGAGCACTTTTTAATAATTTAAGATTCTTATACAAGTATGTGTAAGAGGATTCAAATATTTTATGTTTACTTTATTTTTTTACAGAAATTTCCAGATAACGTGAAACCTCGAAAACCTCTATAAGACGAACATTTTCTTCATTCCCTTCCGCTCAGCTGTAAAAATCTCTAAAACTTAAAATAAAACTTTCTTAACTGGAACTATTCTTCGCGTGTTAAATTATGCATTTTACCTCTGGAAGTCGAATTCAGAAGAACTCTGACATCTAGAAGTTGAAGTTTACTTCTACATATCCGTCAATCAATCGAAGAGGAAAAACGGTACTGCGATCGGCAATTGTTTATTTCTTTAAGCAGTGCGTGCGTTTTGATCACAATAGCAGTTGACTGTGAACGATTGAATGAATAAGTTAAAGTACAGTTCTGTAGTTTCTCATTCTGTTCTCCATATGTAACAAGTTGAATTCCAAACGCAAGCTTTCCAACATTAACATTGATTGATAAAATAAAAGTAATTGAAGCAGTAAAAACTACATCCCGGAAGAAAAAGGACATTGCTAATGAATTTCAGATTCCCATTAGCACTCCATGAACAATACTAAATTTCTGATGTTGAAAATTGCTTACTACAGTGGTTTAAACAATGCAGAGTAAAAAAATGTTATTATAGGAGGACCAATATTAAAATAGAAAGCTGATGTGTTAACCAATTCACTGGGCCATAATAACTTTAGAGCTAGAAATGGCTGGCAGGAAAAATTAAAGAAAAAACAAAGTCATCTTTCAAAAATTGCGCGGCGAAAGTGCAAGCGTGAATGACGAGACGTGTTGAAAGATTGTCAACCCGAAAATGTATTTAATACGAATGAAACAAGCTTCATCCTATAAATGCCTTCTTAATAAAACTGTAATGTTTTCAAAATCAAAACAGCCAGGATGTTTTGTAGGTTGTAAATCGTTTCCTCTGGATTCTGCTGCAACTAAAAAGGCATAGATGACCTCTCAATTATTTTCAAAGTGGTTAGTACAGATCGAAAAAAAGAAATGACAAGAAAGAAACGTAAAATTCTTTTATTCATAAATAAGTGCACAACACATAACATTATCATTTCACTTCAATCAATAAAAATACCATTTCTACCGCCAAACACTACTTCAAAATTTTGGATCAAGGAATCATTAAAAACTTCAAAAATACTAACTGAATATTAATTCACTCCTGTTCGGAACACTCCTTTATTACATTAATTATAACAGTTATGATGAATTATTAAAATAAATTTATATTACAGTGGACTCTAACTATATTGCCACTGAAGATATTGCCACGCGAGGCAGTTCCCCTTCACACGTACTTTCGAGCACACAAATTCGCTCTCCCACCACGTTGCGTACGCCGGCGTACCAGCACGGTCCAGCTTTTGTGCAGGAACTGAGGCCGAGGCTATGACGATAGAACTTAGCATAGAGGGGGCTCTGAACTCATTGCCATTTTACTCCCCTACAGCCCCGACCATGGTAATATAGTTAGAGTCCACTTTCTTCATGCTGATCAAACTTGAGTAGTCAACTTCGACGTAAATTTAAAGTTGAATATGTTCTAAATCAATATACAAAAGATCACGGAGGTATTTGTTGGTATTTTTTTTAGAAGTCTCTCTAAAGTTAATGGACACTGTACATTAAAAAATTGGGTAATTATTTACTCTAGCGATTCCTCACCGATTTTGATGACCTTGAAATATATAGTCAAGGTCATCATTCTAAACAACTTATTAATATAAATAAATTTAAAACTATCAGTAGTAATGAAATTAATTATTTTACAACCTCACTCAGAACCTTTTCAGTTTGTAATGTTGTATTAAAGCTCTAAGAATCCAGAAAAGGCTTGTGGCCACTTATAAGATGTAACCTTGACTATAGCCACAACAGTTTTACTATTAAGTGTTGAATTTTTCCACCCATCAATTAGTAATACTCCATCTTGTGGTTTATCTTACCTTGTAGAATTAACAAGCACATCATATTGTGCATCGAAAATAGTTGTTGACAGTGCTTTTCTTATAGGAAGCTTATATTGATCATTCAGTGCATTAATAAATGCTTTACAATTTTCTGAATCAATTACACTAAATGAGATATTACATAAAAAAAAGGAAATTTGCTAGTACCTCATCAATCTTACTTAGTGCAAAATAAAAATAAACTTTTTAGTAATATAATTTTCAATCTAAACAAATTATATTTATTATTCTATATCTATTTTTTTAGTAACCTTTCAATATCCATTTTTCATCAATGTAACTGAATTTAATTTAATTGTTTTTAATCAGAATTATAATTGTTAATAAATTGACACTTCTTTATAACCTATATGAAAAACGTTTTATAGGTTAGAAACTCGTTATAGATATTTTCGTTCCAGATATACACATTTACGACACATTTACGATATTTAAGACATGTGTCTCGTATAAAAGAAACAATTCGCGTAATTACCCACCTCTGTCCCTACCATAAGACCGCTCAGTCTATTATATATGCTATGTCTATATAGATACTTACCAGAAACTTTGTACATATTCCATTTGACTGGATGCTGTCTAACACTGTCTAATGTAAACGGAACAAGATGATAACGACGCCATCTGTCGACATTTCTTTTTTTCCACGAAAAACCGCCAATTCAATGTTGATTGCATATATCTTTAATTTTTCGTCTACTTGTTATAGAAGCAAATGTTAGTTTTGATTGTATCATAATTGAATGTCTATATAAAGCAAATTTAAAAACCTTGCTTCGACTTGAGCCAGCTATGATTTTGACGTATATATAGCAATGGCGGATTCTGTGTTTATCATGTATTTTCTATTATTATTGACATTCGAACTATGTCCAGGTGGGCAACAAGTTTTTCAATTAGAAAGTACTTTGTACAAATTAAATTTGCATAATAAGTTATACATACCATTTCTGTATCCATTCTGTTTAAACTTTTACACATAAAATGCAATCTGTGAAACATTTGTGATCATCTACAATACACTAAGAAAATATCGTTTAACTTGATGACTTTAGTTTCGTTTCCCATTAAATATTCATGTACAGAGATACCTACATATATATACATAATGTACATTAATGCTTCGAAATATATTTCAATGGTTAACAGGACTTGTTTTTAGGAGAAAAAGAGAGTTTTACTTTAGCAGAACATAATTTTTCATCTGAGAATGATGATTCTCAAAAACCAATAGATATTACAGACCTCAATGATAGTTCTGCTGGATATCAACATTTGAAGTGCTATATTTGTGAGGGACCAGAATGTTTATATACTAAAACCTGTTATAACGCAATTACGGTAACATCTCATTTTTTTACTTATGCGCAGTGTACTTAATAATTTCTGAGAATGAACGTATTGTCCAAATACTAGCTAATTATAATTTTTACTATTGAAGTTACAAACCTTTGTATGCAAACAATTACAACTAATTTCATCAGCGATGGAATGGCATATTTTCACTATATTTCAGTATAATATTTTGTCATTCTTGGAACTCATTAGTTGCACTATTGCATATTATAACTAAGATAAATACTACAGATAACTAATTGTTTTGTTTTATATTTATTAGTGTTGGAAATCTAAAGTACGACAATCAGATGGTGCAGTAAGTATAAGTAGAGGATGTACTTCATCAGTAGATCAAATGCTATTGATATGCAATAAGCAACAGCTTCTACATGCTAATCAAAATGGTAATAATAAGAAAAGACATGTTAGTGGATCCATAAGTGGTGTACAATATAATGTAGAGTGTTGCCAAACAGATTTTTGTAACGATGGACCATTTCCAATATTGCCAGATTTCACTGGAGGTAAGTATATATGTTATATTCATATGCTTGTCCGTTTGCATATTTTTTATTTATGATAAAACTATATAATTTGTAGATACTATTAAAGAGGATTATACAGTTAAATTAACATTAGCAATTTTGGGTTCGATGGTTGGATTTTGTATTATAGCTGGAGGAGTGTTATTTTATTTATTGGTCTGTAGAACACGTAAAAAACGTCCTTTGACTGTAAAACGTAATAAGCTCGTTACAGAGTCAGAACTGGAGTCATCATATCTACATTTCTCATTTACTTCTCCTACATCTGTTTCTACAAGTCCTGCTCATGAACTTAAGGCAACTGCAGCTGGTGACAGCACATTAAAGGTAAGGTTATCTAGACAGATGCATTCCAACTCTGGTTAGGGTTAAAAGGACACAAGAGTGTCTTCATATGTAATCGAGTATCTTATCTTTAATAATTTTGTGTGGATTGTGACAAAGATGATATGTAACGTCTTCACATTGCTTTGCTATTTCACAGTAACTCTTTCCACACACTCTGTTCATTATAGGATTATTTATCTTTTTCGACACTAAATACATGTGTGTAAATGCTTTATAATTATTTTCGTAAACATACTTAGCACAACAAAATTTGCAATTTCTAAAAAAAATTGATTTTTTCAAAAACTGGATGTGCTGGGTAGAAACGACTCGTAGTTCCGTATTCAGCTTATAAAGATCTATCAGAAACACTTCTGAACGGTTATGAGGTAGGAAAATAGTTCAAACTTGTTGGACAGTGTTATTTGTCCATTTTTAGGAGATGTACGTGCAGAAGAATATTGTATTTATTTAGGGGTATACTGCGTAATTTATTGCTAATATCAGATTTTCATTTTACCATTATCTATACGATTTGTAAATTTATGAATTATATGATTTCACATTAAAATAGGAATACTTGGATGGAAGAAGTTTAACAAGTGGTTCAGGTTCCGGTTTACCATTGTTGGTACAAAGAACGTTGGCTAAACAAGTGTCATTAGTCGAATGCCTTGGCAGTGGAGGCAACGGTGGATTTGGTGGAGAAGTTTGGCGTGGCGTATGGCACGGGGAAAATGTTGCTGTAAAAATATATTTTTCGCGAGACGAAGCAGCATGGACTCGTGAAACAGAAGTTTATTCCCAGTTACTGCCATCGAGGCACGATAATATTCTTGGCTACGTCGGCAGTGATATGACGAGCAGAGCGAGCTGCACTCAACTATGGCTGGTAACACATTATCATCCAATGGGTTCTCTTTATAATTATTTAAACAGGTCGCATCATTCTTTGGTGCATCATCAATCTCTCAATATCTGCTTGAGTATTGTGAACGGGTTGCTTTATTTACACACCGAAATTCATGGAACTAGAGGAAAACCAGCTATGGCACATCGTAACTTGACGTCTAGAAACATTCTTGTTAAGACCAATGGAAGTTGTGTAATTGCTGACTTTGCCTTAGCGGTGACTCAAGATCGTTTATCCGCGGATAGAATTGATTTGAAACAAGGCACAAAACGATACATGTGTCCCGAGATTCTAGAACAAACGTATGTATCATTTTTTATTTACTTCATTGCATATTAGAATTTAGATTTTAAATACGGTTCTGCCTCGAAAGTCTCGAATTCTAAATTCAATTGTTTGTAGCAATTGTTCGACAAAAGATTTACCTAAAAAATATGCGCCAAATTTTTAACAAGACATGCTATAATTATGTGTATAAAGCATGTACAGAATGTCCTCTTCTCTTGCATTTGTCTTCTCTAATTAGAATTTTCTTATCCTTCCATAATATTCACCAACGTAAAACAATAACTAGGAAACTATTTCGCAATGTATTTGAAAATGAGTTCAGACATGACATCGTTTTGATAATTTTTAATAATCCGTTACGTATATGTATACAGTGGACTCTAACTATATTGCCATGATCGGGGCTGTAGGGGAGTAAAATGGCAATGAGTTCAGAGCCTCCCCCCATGCTCAGTTCTATCGTCATAGATCAAAAGCTGGACCGTGCTATTATCAAACATGCTGTATATCTAATATATTCTATTTTTAGGATAAATCTGGAGTGTTTGGAAAACTTCAGACGAGCTGATATTTATAGTCTAGGTCTAATACTTTGGGAGGTTTGTCGAAGATGTATAAGTAATGGTGTTGCACTTGATTACATGGCACCATATTCTGAGTGGGTTCCTAGCAATCAAGAACCCTCCGTTGAAGAAATGCGAAAATTAGTGTGTTTGGATCATCGTAGACCACTGATACCTAATAGATGGCACTCTGATCCTGTAACTGTTTAATTTTCTTCAACAAATTATTTGTTTAATAATATAATAAGTACTCTGTTATTAAAGTTTGCAGTATGAAATCATATTTTTTTATTACAAATTTTTTAGATAAGTATTTGTTGAAAATTTGTACATAGTAAAGGTTAATATTTTTTAAATGAATACATCACTATAGTATCATTTTTTAAACATATTATTTAAAGGCAATACTTAATATTCATATCAGATTGAGAAAAGATTGACTACGCATCTACAGAGTACTTTTATTTAAATACTTTTCTAATTATTCATCTAAGGGAACCTTAACTGTTTCATTATATGTTACAGACACTGGCTGGTCTGGGCAAATTAATGAAAGAATGTTGGCATGGAAAGTCAGCAGCCCGATTACCTGTTCTTCGAGTGAAGAAAACACTTGTTAAGTTAGCAACTAATGATTCGCGTGTCCATTTGTCCCTTGATTAAATAGAATATATTTGATTATGTGTATATCGTTTTATGCACATCTTTTATTATTGTGAATTAAACGAGCACACTTTGGCTGATGTTCTAAATTTACTTATTCTGTAGGGAAGTGTAACAAATGTATGCATGTTTGTTTTATTTTTATTGTTTTCTACTGTATGCTTTAACTATTTTATGAGATATATTTATGGTTAATGTAAGACAAAAAGTGCCACTTAGTAATTAAAACATTTATTGAAGAAATCAATTTTGAATGTACATAGATAAAAGTAATTCGTATTTGGAATAAAGCATACGCTAAATAAGTTATATTGATAATACATGTGTAATGTAATTTGTGTTTCTGTGTAATATACAGCCAAAAACGTGGATTACTTAAATTTTTAACAGTATGGTGGCACTTTAATCGAATGGTTTAAAAATTATGTTCCTCGTAATTTGTTGGAAACACAAAAGTATATTTTCACCCTTGGGTAGCAATCAGCTTTAATGAGCACATGGCCATTTTTTTTTAACCAATATATACTTATATTTTTAAACAAGTAAAGCCAATATATGAAAACTTGAGTAAAACTGCATTGTTAGAAAGATGCGTTGGTCGACTCACGCAAAACAAACACGAAAGTTTGAACCAAATTATATGGAAAATTACTCCGAAAATCATACCCTGTGGCACCATTGCGGTTGAACTAGCTGCGTATATTTTTAGTGAATATTTAGTGAAGGAAGTGCAGTCTTAGTGCAAATGTTTCAAGCTATTGGAATAAACAGTGGCCCGAATGCTCATCAGAATGCCCCAAGGGAACGCTGAGCGTATCAAGCTTCCAGACCTGCGCGAGCAACAGAGCACCCGACAAGCAAGAACACTTCCAGACAATAACACATTGGAATTTTGGAAGCTGCAAGCAAGTAGTTCGAAAGGCTACTTTTTAAATGTTTTGACCGAAGGGTCCCATTAATTTGTTTCCGGCTGTTCGCAGATGTGTGAGTCAAATGGTGGAATGAAACATGCAACCTCAGTAATGCAGTTTGTTCCCGCCTACCGTGTTTTTTTTGTGTAAAATTCTATTCTTGCACACTATACTTTGTTTTAAACACTCTGTACACAGTTTAGTGAAGTTAACATGGATCTGAGCTCTGAAGAATTTGCAGAGACAATGCACGTCCTCATGCAGCCAGATATATTCTACAATACTTAAACGATGTTCAGATCTGAACAGCATCGAACATTTGTCGGATGATTTTTTTAAATGTACAAGTAATGTACAACACTTGTGCTAGGAGACACTTAAACAATATTGCATTACCCTAAAGTCTGAAAAAAATGGAGCATGTTAACAACTTGTAATATTTCGAAGAAAATTTTATAATGTAATAAATGACTTAATAATTGGCGATAATTGTTGTATAAGGACCAAAAAAGTGTAATAATTTGTAACAAAGTAGTTAGGCATTCGTTATATAATTGTATGTATTAATGAATAGTCTAAGATGTTCTTAGAAATGAAATGTTACGTTCTTTTTGCTGGTCAGTGTACATTTATACCTTAAACATATAGAACAATTTTGTAACACAATTACTCTTTTCAGTTTAGAGGATGTACATGCTTTTTTTTCGAGGGATGCACAGCTAATATTGTAATATTGTAATAATTATAATAAATTATTACTATAAATGAGACGAAATTGTCAAATAATCCTATTACAATGATACACTGTTAACTAACCAGACTTTCATACCGAATAAAATTTAATACTTGTATTATTATTGAAAATAGCATAGACTTAAGTGAGATATCCTGTACAGTTTAATCATTGTTCATGCGGATTATTTCAAAATTTAAAGCTGTCATGCCATATATTCTTTTACAAGTACGATAAAATCATCTTAATGATAATATATATTCTACAATAATTACGTCAATACAATTCTTGTTACATATCAAATAGAGAAAAGTATCAGTATACAATTTCGCTTATTTTTGCATTCGATATAATAGATCACGAGATCTGTACTAGATTTTAAATTACATTTACAGCTAATAAATAGTACATATGTCAAACCTTCCTTTTGCGCAACTTAGCTTTTGCTTCTTTTAGTAACAGGTCAAATGTATTATCTTCATTCATCTGATTGTGAGACATGTGCCCACTATTAGGGGAGCTGCTTGCCATGCCATCTATCAAAATATAATACATCACATTTAAAATATTTCTTACCTCCCTCTCTATTTTCAGCAATTTTTACCCTGTATATACAGGGTGTCTCAGCTAATTTGATCACTTCGAATAATGATTTAACGGTACATTTTTTGTAAATTTTGAGGCGTAGAACTTAATTGGTATCAAGAGGCACATCTGATAAGATACGTGCTTTTTTTGTGTCGAATCATTTCTGTGGCTGCAGCGCAGTATTCCAGAAAACATTGAAAACAGTTTTAAACTTAATGTAAGTAAAATATTATTCTTACCAAGGTCAGCATATTTAACTTTACAAAAAGCTCGACGTCCTCCAAAGCATAAATCATATCTGGGCAAAGTTGGATCATCATTACCATGTTCGACTGCTTCATATGCATCATTCTTATAGCCAAATGTCACAAAACCATAGTTATCACTATAATATAACGTAAACATTAGATATTCTATATTTTTTAGTATTAAAAATATATCATAGAATATTAAAATGTTTACCCATGTTCACGGAAATGGACACTAATATCTACAACAGGGCCGAAATTTTCGAATCTTCTGCGTAAATCAGCTTTAGTTATTCCTTCCTCTAATCGTCCAACGTAAATTACTCTTCGTTCCTCTACTTGTCTTTGTTTTTCTCGATCGAACCAATCATAGGATTTCCGGTAAGAACTTGATGGAGATCTAATATAAATAAAACTGTATGTATTACCAAAGAATTTTTGAATAATTAAAATAGCCTACATTCTAATTTTCATCAAATTTAGATTATATTATCCCAACAGTCGAAGGTAGGTAATTATAAAACACCATTCTTGGTTTAACATGACTAATCTCTTATCGTTAGAAATGATTTACCTTCTCCAATCTCTGTAACTACGATAGCTGCTTGAAGAGCGCTGTCTATGTCTATCGTAATCTTTACGACTTCGCCTTTCTTTTCTTTTACGACTTAACCATTTACTTCTTCCAAAACTTGAACGAGACGAAAATCTATAAATACAATTTTCCTAAATCTTTGAACTGAAACGTTATATTTTACGTTTCCTTTACATTTACTGTAACTTCATACCTTGAACAACTGGAATATCTTGAGGAAGACCGGGATCTTGATCGGGACGATCTAGAACGTGATCGTGAGTATCTAGATTCTGAACTGAAAGTAGATCTAGTATTTGAACGTGAACGTGAACGTGAACGAGATGACCAACTACTACTTGAACTGACAGAGCTACGGCGATGGCTTATTCTTCGATGACGTGTATTGCTGCGTTTATGCGATCTGTCTCTACTACTACTACTGCTTCTGCTTTTACTCCTACTTTTACTTTTGCTCCTTGATCTAGACCGACTTGAACTAGAACCAATTCTGTGTTTTCTATACGATCGTTGACTTGTGTTGAGAACGTGTTTTTCTCTAAAAATTATGAAAATTTCGTAAACCTTACATTAGTGGTGAGTAATTGATGGGGTTCGTGTTAATCACTATAATAATTATATACATTATACATATCGTTAAGGAGCATATGTATTTTTAACTGAATATTTGAAAATTCCTATATTTATTACCTCTCATCCTCATGTCTTTCATCAATGTCAGTTAACGACTTTGGAGGAAACTCAAATACAGTTTCGTAAGTTTGTATTCCTACATCACATGTAAGTGGTTTCGGGTGAGCCTTTTCTTCGTCTACATCTACTTTTGGCTTCAAAACTGATACAATTTCTCTTTCCGACCAATTCAGACTTCCAAAATCGTCTTTGATAGGTTCAGTTGTCGTTGAAGCATGATGAATATATATCAATGCCATAGGTTGTATTGGTGAATTTGTTCGACTATTATCACTACGATTTTGTTCTCTTCTACTCCTGTATTCTGCTAAATTTAATTTTTTACGGGGTGGTTTTCTATCTTCCTCTTGTATAACTTTTTCTTCTGTATTTTGAACAATAATATTTTGTATTTTGTCATTTGATCTATTATGCGTAGTCACTATACTTTCATAACTACTGGTTATTACAGCTGGTGATTGCTGTACATTAAGTGGTTTCTTTAATACAGAAACCATTTGTTTCGTTTTCTGATTCCCTCCATTCAAACACTTTGTTTTACTTAAAGCACCCCGTTGCAATTGCAAAATACTTGTTGCTAAAGCTGAACGTATTTTCATTTCAGGCGTTGAATTATTTGAAGACTCATTTCGAATTTGGTTAAAATACTTGGTTGTATTATTTGATGCATTAACATTTTGACAATTTTTATCTTCTGTTAATATTTGCTTCTCGCACTTAGTTTCACTTTGTCGTTTTACAGATCCACTAGTTTCATCACCTTCAAATACTACAGCTTCAACTTGCTCTTCGCTGTTAGCGCTTACTTCAATTAATTCCAATGTATCATCTTTCTTTGTACTGTTTTCAATCGAGTATCCTTTCCTTTTTACCAAAATTTCATTTCCAAGTAATGATATTGCGTGCTTTGTATATTCTGAATGAGATTCAGTCCACTGTTGATCATCATTTTTAACTGGAGTCACTTTTTCAGTGTCGCTACTTTGCTTGTCGTATTCATAGTTGCTATCAGAACTACTAATGGAAGAATTAGTACTACTACAGTAATCATGATCCAATTGAACTAATCCACCATCAATGGCTCTACTTTTAGTACTATTTGTCACCTAATACAATGAAATAAATAGTTACTAAGCTTCCGGTAGAATTTAAATTTCTTATGTTGCAAAAATGTAAAAATAAAATACTTTACTTTTCTAACTTACAAATTTTTACAATTCTTACAGACTTGCATAACATATGATCAAAACAGTGTAATTCTTTAACGTGAATCTTAGGATATAAAGTTTTACAAATTATGTATGAAAATATGGAAAGAATTGTCAAAATTGTAATTAATAGTACAGATATGTGACAATATGAAAAACAAGTCATTATATAGAGATTCATGTATACTCTGAAGGCATGTCAATAAATTTGATGCTTAGACAAGGAATGAAATAGTTTTTTCAATAAATCCTTTTCTCCCTAACCCTTTCATGCATAATGTATTTGTTACCAGATTCAAATTTCATGCACAAAAAAAGTAATAAATTTTTAAACTTAACTATTTGCAACAGTTTATTTCGAGAAAGCGTGGCAGCAGCATCTTGCATGCGCGTTCCATTGCTACGTCCATTAGTCTGTATGCTCGACGACATTGTTGGTATTATTGAAATTACTTTTTTACATCCAGACGTCTATTAGAAATATGTTGTCTTGTCAATTGAAGTTATTCAAGACGAAATTGTACTTCGTAATAATTAAGTCCTCATACAATTACCTTAACCTTATCAATGATTTCTTTGGGTAAAGCATCTCGAATGTTCTTATGAAGACTTGAAACTTGTGATAATGGTTTCTCAGTAGCATTGATTCTAGGTTCTTTCATACATTGCTGATTCTTACTACGGGTTAAACTTAAATCTTGATCAACGTCTGTATTGTTCTTGCTAGATGGATTAGATGATACTGCAGTATTTTCAGAAGCTTCAAACTGTTCTAATAAACTTTCAACAGTTCCAGCTTCCAAGACTAAAATGATAATTATAAAATCATTATAATACATTTTTGTAAGTCAATTTACCTTGATTATCTTAAAATATTGCAAATTCGTTACCTGGTAAATGCCTTAAATGAGGTTTACTATTATCATGATTACTACTTTTAACATCTTTGTTGTAGAGCAGAGATTTTTCTTTCTTTTTCCTCTTTTGTTTTGTTATTATGTTTGAAGTGATATCGATTACTATGCTGTCATATTTAAGGATATTCTTTTTTACCTTGTTTTGACTTTTTCTATACATAAGTTCTGTAGGAAGTGATTTAGATTCTATTTCTACATGCTTATCACAATTTTTTACAGTGTCGGATATTTTACAATATGAATTATTTTCTACTGTATTCTCTAGAAAATATAAATTTGTATTACAATGAAAATAATTATTGATTTTATAACAATAATGGTTAAAATAAATAACTTGTGTCTTTATTATTACTGTTTGGTTCCTGTATGTTCTGACTGCTTTGAAGACATTCCTTCTTCAAGTCCACTTGCTTTGTTCTAAAGTATTCAGATTCTAGAGTTTGTGTCGACTGTTCATCTTGAAATACATTTTCTGAAATGCAGAAGCTTTTTCTGTCTGTAGAGTTCATATTTAATCCTATAATATCCATGTATTCATCAATGTCTGTAGCCTAAAAAAGAATTCATCAGATCATATTGCAAAAGATTAGTAATATAAATAAGAAACTAGAGACCTGCAAGTAGCCAATATGTTCTTGCCAATCTGTAAGCACTTTTGCAAAATCTTCTTTAATATTATCAGTCTTGGAAATTGTAGGAATCTCTGTAATTTCATCCGCATCTTCCGAACGTCTAAAATACATCAACTTTATTATTGCCATTTATATTTCAAACTTAGAAAACAAAAAAATATGTTTACTCACTCATGTTCATTACTCCATAAACTATCAGAATTTGCAATATCAAGATGAGTTTCCATATAATCAAAATCATTTTCCACTATGTGCATTAATAAATCTTGAGGCTTTTCCATTAAATGCTATTAAAAAATGATACTTTACAGTATTTACATTAATAGAACATGCTTGTTCAGTATATGTTTACTTTTAAACTATTTATTACTATTCTTATTATTATACTGAATACAAACTTTATAATGGACATACTATCAATTTAATAACAATAATAAATAGTTGAAAAGTTAATTTAACACTGTTGTAGTTAATTTAAATGAGATTCATTATTTAAAAGTATACTCTGATAAAGGTAGAATATAAAATATTGATGTATTTATTGCTTTTATAGTTTAGCCTACACTATATGGTAACAATACTGTTGGACTATTAATAGCAGAGAAGTATTGAATTATGCACGTGTAATATGGAAATTTTTAATGAATATAGAGAATCTATAACTATACCATTATTAACCCTAAACCTACGTCTGATAGAAAGTACATTAGCAGTAGATATTCAAGGGGGAAGCACCTGGTGTAACTCACAAAAAATTGAAGAATATTTCGGAATTTTTTTTAAAGAAAGTACTTAATCGATCTTTTTCAAATTTGAAGATTGTTATATTATTACATTCGTTTATAAAAACAATTTTGTATCAAAAATGGATGACAATACTATAAAAGTTATAGTTATCCAATAGTTATAAGATTGTTAAATATCAATAATATCCACAATAACATTTAATATACTATTAAAAAGTTAGTTTAATAATATTAATAATCATAACACTAACAGTAATATATAAATCAATATAAAAATATAAACAATTTGTCTTGAAACGCAAAATTGTTTACTTTGTTAAAAATTAAATAAACACATTACCTGTTCCAGAGATAATGAGAAATCGGAAAAATGTTCTTCATCATGAAAGTTTAAAAATCCTGTTTCCATGATACACAACTTCAAGTGCTTTTCCAATTGGTTATCCTGTATTCGCAGCCTGTAATTGTAAACGACAGAGAAACAATGAGAAAAATATTTGACAAAGTGATATGAAGCGGCCACGCGTTTCTTTGAGGTTATGTTTTAAGAAATGATAGTGTGACACGAAACTTCATATAAACATATTGAAATTATTACCGATCTCAGATTTTCGTTTCCTTTTTAATTACATTACATGTTTGAAAATTTCATAATGGAATTTAAATATATTTCAAAAATTTATACACATTACCCTCTGGAAGCGTGAAAATGCTAAGGACCGACGAAGACACGAGATACCGTTATTCTGTTGGAGTGCAAAAATTTAGAAGTTGTCACATAACCATAGTCTGACATATGTAATGCTATTTAACGTTTCAACAGAATTTCAGTTTGTAAAATTATCTCCGATATTTCTAGTAATCATTTAATTTTAAATGTATGAATCGTGTTTGTTCTTGGAGATAATTACACCTGCCTGTACGCGCACACACGAATACGTACATATGGATCATACAACTGATGTGCACGTGTACCCAACACGAGTGCAAAGAAAGCATAAGCATAGGTATATAGTTGCTATAGACGCCACGCCTCCAACTATTTCGATAAACTGTGAAAAAGCCAACCTAAAATCCTCATATGGCAGAGTGGTCAATAAAATCTTTAATTACAAAGTGGAGCATTATCAAATGTACACACCTATATTATTTGACAGATTATTTTATATAATAAGTACACCGATGCAACCAGTATGTCATTGGACAGATGCCGATCGACTAATAATTACAATGTAAGCTAACAGTTTTACATAAAAATAATGATTCTTTAATTAGTTCTTAACTGATAGTATCATGCAAAGTCTCTATGTTTGTAGTTTTAATACTGTGTACTTACTTAAATATATACAAGCATCTGCATCACACGTGATTGACACGTTTATGCATACTTTTCCCGGTTTGTTCACACCATGCGTACTGTTATACCATGTTATACACATGTATAATGCGCAAGCGGCTTGCGTCAGTATTTTGTCTATATATGTATAACCATAGTTGCTTTACTATACTGCGAAGTTATTATACATATACAAGGCGATTCATTTAAACACAACACCTAAATATATAGTTACCGATTTTGTTCAAATTTATAGTATTTGGTGATAACCATGAAAAAATGAACTATGTTAAATTTCAGCTTCCAATCTCGAACCGTTTCTGAGATATTTAATGTTAAATTTTGAAAAATTGAACGAAATCAGCCGACACGAGATCACTCCAACCACAATATTTTGGTTATTTTTAAACATAGAGCATTGATCTTGCTCTCATTTTAAAGCTGAAGAAATGCTTTGTCCAACTGCATGGAAACAATTTTGTGTATTGTTAACAAGTACAATAATAGTTAAAGTTACCCCTATGAGCATACTGACGTCAGATGCACGGCATCTGATGTCACAGTCGGTCAAGCAGTACCTCAGATTCATATACATCCACGAGCAAACTCGGCTTCCGCTAGGGGAAAACTGGCGTAGAAGAAACGTCTCCTTATCACTTCGTAAGTTTATTTCAATTACTGAAATAAATGTTAAACAGAATGTTAATTTGGTACAAATTTCAGTAATTCCTGATACCAAATGGTAGGAAGTTCTTCTTCCACGCCACATTTTCCCCTAGTGGAAGCCGAGTTTGCTCGTGGGTATATATAGACGGAGCATTAACCAAGCAGGGGTGTAAGATTCGCGGGAAGGGGGTGGATTATGGTAAATCGGGTAACTTCGTTCCTTTTTGGTCCTATTCGGGTATACAATCACGTTACATACGTGTATGCTATGAGAGATGAAAAGAATATACCTATTAAACGTTAAAAATTCCGTGTGTCATGTAGTTTGTATAGATATATGTATTTAACAAAATTAATAAATAGTATAAAGCATTAAATAATAGTATGGCACACAGCGTACCAGCCATTAATAACGAGCCGAATTGAACCGAATGCATCCGAAGCTAACCGACGTACCTCTAATGACTCAAGTTGCCAGGTATAGCATGTATAATAGACTGCGCGGTCTTATGGTAGGGATGATGTCGGCATTAGAGAGAGAGGACAATAACTGCAGTAGCTTTCTTCTTTTTCTAATGGGGCTATTGATGGGGAATTCCCCTACGGCTGTAGTGGAGGCATTACATACGTGCAGCATTCCTTCTCCTCATCGCCTTCTAGTCGTTCCCTCCCCATCCTGTGCGATGTGCGAGCAAGACAGGAGCTACTCCAGCGCTACTTCTGTCCTTCGGTTTCGCTTCATCCCTACCATATATGTCTATGCAGGGGGTTGACCACAGACATATATGTATAATAGACTGCGCGGTCTTATGGTAGGGCTGAAGTCGACAGAAAAAAGAGGGGGCAATAACTGGAGTAGCTAGGTACTTCGCTTTCTAATGGGGCTGTTACAGCTAGCAAGTAAAGAAGCTAGCAACAAGAATCAATTGATCAAAATGTACAACCTCGCAGCCAATTAGCTCATATTATTTGTTGTATAATTCGTCAACTTGTAGGTGATTATGACTGTCAATTATATACCAAATAATAATGATTGCCCAGGTCTCACCACGTGGAGGTTGCTGCGAATGGAGACCCACCCACTATCGCGCCTACACGGCCCCACCCTTTGTGCTTTTTGCAACATTTTCCCCAACGAATCTGGTTGTTGATTTAATCGAAGCAGTCCCCAGATCTTTATATGAAGAGAACTCGTTACATGAACTTTATATTAAATAAGAGAAATTTTCGTATGAAGTTCATGTGAAGCGTGAACTCATTATACGTGATCATTAGAATGAAGAGATGTCTTCATGTGATGCTTTCTGAAACAGACCCTGGAAGGATTAGAACACGACATTATTATTAGGTGTGGATACTGCAGTTTGAAGTTTGAATCCACGATGATTCCTGAAACAGAAAGTCAAAGAAATTTGATAATACGAGGATCCCTGAAACAGAAGTTCAAAAGATCACAATGAAACATGTTAATGGACATTTCGTTATGCATAAATGTGAATAATAATTGCAATAACAATTTAAACAACAACATGTAATACGAATAAAAGTATACAAACACATTTTTATAGATATTTCAGTTCAATAAATTTCAATAAGAATTTCAATAACAACAAATACATAATAACAATAAATAATATAATAACATGTTTTTATAGATATGTTATTTCGATGGAGTTCAAATTTGATCCCACGACGATACCTGACCTGAAACAGAAAATTCAAGGAATACGAAACATGGTACATTTTATTATCTTCTCATGTTGACAAAGCTGTGTTCATTGTAAGCATTTATGTAGATAATCTGAAACAAACTAAATCATTGGGTAAGAAGCTGAAAAAGAAACGGGTTAGTACACACAAAATATTAAAAATGTCGGTCTCTTTTATAAAAAAAAGTGAATTTACCAGAATGGTAGACTCGACTAGAATGTAAGCAAATGAATTTAAATAAAAAATGAATTATGTCTCTGTGCAAAGATGAAACAAGAATAGATTTAATCGACTCATTAGTTCATTTGTAATATGCAATGATCAATATTTAACATAATAAAAGCATTTACATCGAAATAATCGTATTTTAGTGTATCCAAATTGAAATTATACTCTCATGTAGAGATAGTAATAACGAATTAACGGCGACTCTACTTGAAAAGTTGCTATCAACATGAATTATCGTATTTGTATTTGCATATTTTTTCAGTTGCAAGCTTTTAATTAATTGTCAAGTTACGTCAAGCAACACTCGCGAAGAACCTTTGATCGTTGCAGGGAGATTAAAAAAATGTATAAAAATGTACACTATTTTAATATCAATATTGTATGCAAGTAACGTATTACGATTGAACAATTAATCTATTAACAACTCTAACAACAAATAGTCATGCCTACTTCAAAAGACTCTAATTAAACTTTAATCTCAAGTTGATTTTAATTTTTATTATTTTTGTGTCAAAAGTTAGTCATTAATTAAATCTTCAATCAAAATATGTAATCTTCAATGTGTATGCAACAGACATTAATGGTTCAAGAAATTACAAAAGAATGACTCTGTTATACAAACAAGCATTGTATATTGGTCAGTGATGTTTATAAATGAAGACAAATATTCATTTATATCTTCAATACAAATAAGAATATTCATGAAGCATCACTGACCAATATGCAATGTTCGTTTGCATATTTTACTCATACTGCATTTAAATAATAAATAAGTTTCCTTATATTAATTTTCTTATTTCTCTACAAATGACGGTAAAATTTAAAAAGATAATAAATAACACACTAACGGGTGAAATAAAATTTTATTAACATGCTAATAATCATAAAAATAGACTTTATTACCAGAGGTGTCCAAATGCCACTCACGAGCTACAAGCTATTACAAGCCTCCCCTCGTGAGTCAACCTAAGTCCCGTAGTGGGGGTACGTCCGGAAGGGAAGAATGCTGCTCGCAAGTGGTAGATTGTAGATGGACACCTCTAGCCCTGTCCTTTTTAAGGGACAGACTTTACAAATACTCATTTCTTCTGAGTATATGTGTACGTCTACCATACCGATATGTTTAAGGCACACTATACATGCTGGTGAAACACAGTACATAGTACCTTCCCTACATTTAACGCTCACACTCCATTAAAGTGGTCGTGAGTACACGCCAGCACGTTTCGATACACTACCCGTGTCTACGGAACTGGATACATTCTTTATTATTGGCATCGAAAACTCCGGCCACGACAATGATCGTAGAATAATTTAACACGTGTGCACTCCGTGTTAAATTATTCCATAACACGCGGTCTTTCACGAGGGTATGCATACCGATGCACAGACGACGTAACTCAACACGTCTTCGTTTTATGGACCGATACTTTATTGGGATTCGCAAAAACGAATGAAACCCTGCAACACTGGTTCCAATTTTTGA